CCTTGCTTACGAATTTTAGTTTTTATATTATAAAGAAAAAATAAATTATATTTTTAAAAATATTTATATATTTTATATTTCATATTCTTTTTAATAAAATATATTAAAAACAATTTTACTTAAGAGTAAAATAATCAATAAAATTTTATTTTTTTATTAATATTAAATGCATTATATTGATTTTTTACAAATAATTACAATAATTATAAGTACTATTACATATAATTAATAAATAAATATAAAGATAAATTAAAAGAATAATTATTTTATATTAATTTACATAATGTAAATTTATTATATTTCATATTAATTTTTTATCAATTTATTTTGTAAAATAATCTAAACTTCTGTATGTAACTATTATCCTGAATAATAAACATATGTTTAGTAAAGCATGTTTAATCTGACATAATATATTCCTAGTGATTATCAACAATGTAAGTTGATATAACATAATTCCTAATGATAAAATCTCGTAGAATTTAGATATATGTATATATATATTCTTTTAGAATACAATATAAATAAGTTCAATTGAATTAGAATAATTATAATTTTCATTATATAGATTTATTCATTATAATATAAAGTTATGTTATAAAATAATCATATATATATCATATATACATATGTATAATAAATATGTATTATAATGATTATGATTTTTTTATTAAAATTTCTTTAAGTTCTCTACATACATATGTATTTATTACCAAATTTATCAAGTGACAAAAATAAATATATAATATAAATATACTTCAATAAAAACTATTTTTTTTTTGAATAAATAGAACTTTAATTAATAAACATATTTAGTATTCTTGATAGATTTATAAAAATATAAAAATAGGTAATAAATATTAAAGTATTTCTTGTAATTTTTTTTTTTTATTTTTATGCAACAATAATATATTATATCGAGCTAATATATCTATTTCGTTGGTAGTCAGTCAGTAACAATACTGCGTCAGAAATTCTTTTCCGTTACCGGCAAGATAAATACACTGTAGCCGGCTGCGATATGGTGTTAGTGAGGGCCACATGGAATAAAATGCAGACACGCATTGGTTGTGTTTTATATAACCTTGCTTCCTATTGGTTGAACCTCGTGGGTCTTATCGGATTACTTGACTATGACTACGTGGCGTTGCCATACTGCGATGTTGGGTCTACCAAAGTTTCAGTTTTCTGTGTTACGTTGAATTGAATTGAAGAGAAAAAGTAATAGCATGCGTTTTTATTTTCTTATCTATTAGCTAGAAACAATTATTTTTGTAATTATTATATTTAAAAAGTCAATTTATAATCATAATAGTGGGGATAGAATATGTATTTGGCAACATTGGGATTACGTCATCTGATGCAACTTTGTTTACTTATGTTGTTCACATATTTTGCAGATTTAATATTATTTCTTTATGTTGTTTGATAAAAGTTTTGTTTTTTTTCAATAATTTTATGTAATCTGGAAAAAAATCTCTATATTTGAAGTTTGAAGATCTATAATTTTTTCTTAAGTAAGTATTGAATTTTTTTGAAATATTTATTTAACATTTTGAAATATTTATTATGTAATAAGATAAAATAAAAAAAAAGACATTTATTTAAAGAGCATTAAATATTTATATGAATAAAAATAGTATAAAAAATATTTTAAATCACTTAACATCAAAAAAGATAAAACAATTTTAATCATAATAATATATAATATTTGTTATTTTATATTAATTTAAACAAATATTTGTAAAATATGTACTTTTAATGAAAAAAAAATATATAAAAAGATCAACAATCATACAATGTATTTTTTGATTACTTATTTCTTTTTTTTTTTGCAAAACATCAACCTTATTTATATGATTATTCAACAATAAATTATAAAGAATTTGATTTATATTTCTGTAAATCTTTCTATTAATATAATAAAGTAATAAAAATATAATATAAATTTATTTTAAAAAATTATATGTTAAAATTATA